GGAGAAAATAATGGAGTCAATGCATAACAAAGAATAATATATGGAGAATGCTTAGTTAGAACTTGTAGACGGCTGGTCACAATGTTTACAACTGCAACCAAATTATTTGCCAGTAGATTATTAATAAACAACGTAATTTTGTGTTTGTTTCTATTATAACGCATAGTATGCTACTAAAAACTTTCTCGGGCAACCCTCGTATTTATCGCGAAGACCATTAATCTGTTTTCCCCATTATCATTTCACCATTGTCATTCAAATAAATGTTTATATAAGGTCATCGACGTAAACTCCAAAGCTATTTTCACAGTTGAGCGCTCGAGGCCCTTCTCCATCTCTAAATATAAAAATTCAGTAGGTGTGAAATTTCTTATAGCTGACATGGGGGCAAGTGCCCTCATACGCTTATCGATGCGTTATTTACCTTATCACAGTGTATGCAGGACTTAACAGCATCACACAGAAGTGGTGTGATGCTCTATTGGAAAATTGCTTTACACGTTTTCACATTTTTGTTGTGATTGTCGGTAAAATCATCGACATGGAGAACAAATTCTTAAATAGAAAATAAAGGATAACGTCTCGCAATATATATACATATACATATATATTTATATATAATATATATATATATTTATATATATATATATATATATATTACGAAAGAGACAACAGTATAAAATTATACACGTATAAATGATACTATTTTATGAATTCTGCAATTTTTGATTTATATGAAGCAGTAACGAGTAGTTATTTATCTCTTTGGAGATTAATTGCAAACATCTGTTGTAATATGGCAACTGCTGATTTGACGATTGCCAAATCAATCCCTTATACTTTTCTTAAGATTTATATTTTATACATTTGAAGCATACAGCATCTACATTGTAAAAACATGCCAACACTGCTACACCGAAATTTTTTGTTCTACGTTTGACATTTGCGGTTATAATCAGCTTGTACTTTCGGTAAACTCAACCAAATTATAATGCTAGGCAACCAAAAATCATCGAGCAAAAAGACAAAAGAGAGAATCTAATCGTTATGAAACGGAGACCAAAAAAGTGGCCTCTGATGGCGGACATATCCGGAAATGCGAATGCGCCAAATTTAAATTTTCTGACACAATACCTGGGACATATTACACGTGGGAATAAATATCAACTGTTACAACTAATTATGCAAGGAAAGATTGAAGGTAGGCGAAGCATAGGTAGGAGAAGAATGTCGTGGTTGAGAAACCTCAGGGAGTGGTTTGCTTGCACTTCCATACAATTGTTCCGAGCGGCAGCCTCCAGGGTCAAAATTGCCATGATGATAGCCAACCTTCGTAGCGAAGATGGCACGTGAAGAAGAAGAAGAAGACACTTATTAACAATAGCTATAAAATAGTTTTCAGCTATAAAATAAATAAGCTTTCATGTGACAGTTGGGACAAACAATAACATAACCCAACTAAATTTGATTTATTAAACAAGGAAAGATTCTCTTTCCTTGTTTAATGTGGCCTCTCAAGATGGCATTTCCTGTCTAACGATATTTTTGCCCCCACTACCTCTACATTCCCTCTTTTGTCTTTTTGCTCGATGCCAAAAATGCATGTTGGTCTTCAACTGCATCAGTAGTTTTCCTATTCTTCTGCTTCTTGCTCGCTATAAGACTAAAAGCGGAATACGTATTCATTTGCAGAATGGTGCCTCTGTCCTCTTCGTAAATAAGCGAAGTTTTCGGATACTTGTGACAGACTTGATATTAACAACGTATATACCAAGTACATCGTAAATATTGAAAATATGTTGTATACACTTGTTATGTATATACATATTACAGTTAGGTAGACAACCTTTCATACAATTATGTACAAAGAGCTACATAAGTTCATACGACTGCTTAAAAGCATTTGGATTAGATTTATCTAATATGTTTCATTTGTTATTTCAAAATAATAATCTTTTATCTTATTTATTTATCATTTAAGAGAGATATGTAGATTATCACTTCAATTTGATTCAATTTATAAAATTAATATATAATTTGTTAAATATTTTATTGAAAATATGACTTTACCTACACGAAAGAGACAACGATATAAAATTAAACGGCCTACAATAAGCGTATGACACTGCGATTATTGCTGACAATTCGAATGCTTTTCAACAACTTCTAAATCAGGTAATTTAAGAAGGAGATCCATCAAGAGAACTGAGAAAAATTGAGGACCATCGGAAAGACGTTTGACAATGTTAAGAATGAATAGCTACTGAAAATCTTGATTATCAAGATGTTCATTGAAACATGGAATATCAATATTATACTGAGACCAAACGGCAAGAATAAAACTTAAAAACTCCCTGTCAAAGGGAATAAGTAGTCAGAAGGGTGACCACAGGGACGTATTATCTAGTTAATGCTATTCAATTTGAATATGTTTTCCGTGAAGCATTAAAAGATGAGTTAGCTGGAATAGCGATAAATGGAATTATTGTCAACAATATCAGATATGCTGACGATACAACTATATTAGCCAACAATTTGGGAGGCCTCTAGAGACTCTTTGATAAAGTATCTATGATTAATATGACGCACGGTTTGCATCTTGGTATCAGGAAATACAAAGTGATAGTCGTTTTAAAAAAGGGTTTCTCCTTACAAATATCTTAGAACTAATTGTCATACAGACTAACGAATTCTTCTTCTTCTTAAAGTGCCCTCTCCTCAATGGAGGTTGGCTACTACAATTTTAAACTCTTCTCTATCTTCAGCTGTTCTTATTAGCTGTTCAAAATTTAGCCCTGTCCATTGTGGGATGTTTCTGAGCCACGATAGTCTTTTCCTTCCTAGGCCCCTCTTTCCCTCGATTTTTCCTTTCACTATAAGTTGGGCATATTGGTACTTATTATTTCTCAGTATGTGGCCTAGGTATGATGTTTTTCTAACTTTTACTGTGTTAAAAAGTTCTCTTTCCTTGCCTATTCTATGCAGCACTTCTTCGTTTGAGGAATGCGATGTCCATGGAATTTTGAGTATTCTCCGGTAGATCCACATTTCAAAGACCTCCAATTTATTTACGGTTGATATTTTAAGGGTCCACGTTTCAACTGCATATAGAAGAGTCGACCAAACGTAGCATTTTGATAAACGTAGTCGAATTTCGAGTTTTATTCGAGAATCACAAAGCAGTTTTTTTATTTTTTCGAAAGATTTTCTGGCCTGTTCTATTCTCGATCTTATTTCTTGATCAGGATTTAGGCTGCTATCGATCCAACATCCCAGGTACTTAAATCTATTGACCTGTTCTAAGATGTGCCCATTTATTGTGCAAGGTTGAGGTACGTTTTGGTTTTTTTGGATTGACATCACTTTGGTTTTTTTAATGTTTATTTATTTTCTACTAACCAATAGTCAGAATAAATTCGTTCACACATTTAACACACACTAGCTGCTTTCATCAAAATGAACTGTTGACAGTACCATATTTTCCTATGACTAAGAGACTGAAGTTAGGTGATGTGTTTCCACGACTCCTCTATGCTATAGAAAGCTGGACATTAAATAATGAATTCCTTTAAAAATACTTAAAAAAAAGATAGAGGCCTTTGAAACAGATGCGTTCTCAGAGTGTCCTGGACGGATAGAGTCACAAATCTATGCTGGAGGGAGAGAGTGCTGGAAGGACTGAATATGAACCTGAAATTGTATTTACTATAAAGTAGATTTAAGGGAGATTGGATAGATTTAAGGGAAATTGAAGTAAGGGGATGGAGAAGACCAAGAAGATACTTGGCAAGGAAGGATGCAAGAATGTTTTGAGGCAGGCCAGTGCTTACAAAGGGCTGTAGCGCCAACTGATGGCGATGACCATAAAGTAGAGAAAACTTTAAATTCATTGGCCATATATCTAGGGGACAAAGTATGAGTTACTAAAGTTTATAATGCAAGGAAAGGTAGTTGGACGAAGAAGCGTGGGACGTACAAGAATTTTTTGTCTGCTAAGGAGACGCTAAATGCAAGAATAAGGAAGAGATATTTCATCATGTCATACCTCTTGATGCTCTTGAACCACTTGAGATATGTAGACGATATAGTCCTGATAACAGATAAGAAGGAAGAGTTACAGAAGATGGTTGGGGAACTAGATAGAAAAGCGACAGAGGTAGGTCTAGAGATGAACTATAGTAAAACCAAGACTATGACAAACCAAGAAGACCAATTAGAAATAGTAGTCAAACAGAATAAATTAGAGCAGGTGGCAGAATACATATACCTAGGACAGATAATAAAGCTGAACAATGACAATCAAACAGAAGAAATAAAAAGAAGAACTATACTAGCATAGACCTCATTTGGTAAACTATCATATATTCTAAAATATAAAAAGTTCCCTCAATATATGCGAACGAAAGTATTCAACCAGTGCATTTTACCAGTTATCACATATGGCTCACAAACATGGACTTTCACAAAGGAGAACATCGACAGGATATCCAAAACACAAAGAGCAATGAAAAGACAGATGCTGGTATCGGTCTTAAAGACAGGAAAAGAAACTCATGGATCAGAGTAAAAACAAAGGTGAACGATGTATCAAGACAGGTTGCAAAACTTAAATGGAACTTCGCCGGTCACACTCTCCGGCAATGATGAAAGATGGAATAAGCGAATTCTACACTGGAGACCATGGGAAAAGAAAAGAAAAAGAGGAAGACCACAGATGAGATGGACTGACGATCTTAAGAGAACAGCAGGAAAGGACTGGATGCAGATCGCCCAAAATAGATACCAATGAAGATTAACAGGGGAGGCCTATGCCCAAAAGTGGGCGTTTAAGGTTGATTAGATAGATAGATATTTCATCATAATATACTACGATACTTGTATCAAATTAACCACAATAACAAGAAATAATTACACTGTCAAACATATTCAATGTTAAAAAATATTTAATGAACATTATTTTTTCAATTTTTAATAAAATTATTTTTGTTTTTCTTTTTCAGATGGAGATATCAACGGTGATGTTAGTGGAGATGATCAAAGTATCGCCAGTGATCATGACCAAAACGATGAGAATTCTATGGACTCGGACAGGGGCGGTGCGTTAAATTTAGTAAGTGTATATTTTAATGAAATAGTAATTGTTTTACACAATACTTATAGTCAAATAAATATAGTTTTCTATTCTATTCTCTGGTTTTAATAATATTAGGTTTGTCATAGAGGCGGTAAAGTTCGAAATTATAACGACTACACCATAATTCGCCCTCTTGTACTCCTCCATAGATATGCTGGAGGATTTTACGTTCAAAGCATCTTAAACGTTCTTTATCGCTTCTGTATATCACTAGTTTAGTTCTTTTTGTAACTTGGCTTGTTGTTAAAAATTTTTTCAATCCATCTTCTTCTTTGAGTGCTTCTCCTATCGGAGATTGGATATCATTAGGGCGATTCTAATTTAATTAACTGCTGTTTTGAATAATTCGTTAGTGGTACAGCCAAACCACTCTCTTAAATTTCTCATCCAGGACATTCTTCTACGGCCTGGATTTCTGCGTCCTTGGATTTTACCTTGCATTATATTTTGTAGGAATGTGTACTTTTGTCCTCTCATCAGGTGGCCTAAGTATTCAAGTTTTCTCTTTTTTATGTTCATAATAACTTCTGGGTCGTTATTTATTCTGCGTATTACCTCTTCATTTGTAATTTTATCCACCCAACTTATGTTTAGTATACGGCGGTACCACCACATCTCACAGTTTTCAAGATTTTTAATCCGTAATAGGCTCTATTTGCCAGCTATATTCTTCTGTTAATTTCTGGACTTACTGCATTATTCTGATTAATTTGTGAGCCTAGGTATATAAACTCTCTTTCTCCTTCGAAAGTATATGTTCCGGGGCGTAGGAAATTTCGACACTAAGCAGGTAGCGACTAAAATTTAATGGCAATTTTCGACACCAGTCCCAATTTCCGTTTTTATCTTACAGGTATATTCGACACCAAATAAATATAGCTGCGACATAAATAAAATACCATAATTAATTAATTTATTTATTTTAATAAAAGTAATGTGCATTTTATTTCTTTATAACTGTAATAATATCTAAATATAATACAACTAGTACCTAATTTTTGTACATTTTACCGTTAATATACTTGTATACAATAATTTATTTGCTATTATAGGAATGATAAGATACAGCTTTTATAAAATCTAACCTACGTATTTGTTGGGATCGTAGTTTATCCATCATTTTCTCCAAAAATGCCAATTTAGCCTTAGCAGTAGTATCTTTGATTTTTGCTGGTATATGTAAACTATTTATTTTGACATAAGTGTCTACTTGAAATTCTTTTAACTTTTCAATAAAAATAAAAATAGAAGGATGTGTTGAATAAAAAGAAGAATTAAATCTCGAATGAAAGGATTCACAGGCATTTGTGGTCCTCGCAATAGACGGATTCTGATTAGACCATATGTGAGGTGGAAATAGAGCGCTATCGAAAATGTAATTTTCCAGTAAATAATCTGCATATATATCAAGTGTTACGTTTATAGGTTTATATGACATTAAATCATAAAGAAAGCATTCTTCAACTTCTGCTGGATTTAAATAAGTTAAACCAAACGTATGCCTTAACCATTTTCCAATTTCTGAATTTGTATCCTTATATTCTTGTACCAAACCCAAAGATTGAATTTTTTAAACCAGTTTTGGTGTAAGTGAAAACGGCATCCACTAATTTTTGCATTGGGCCACATATACAATAAAGCACAGTGAATTGCTTTTTCAAAGTCCACAAATATTTCAGTTGGCTCTAATGATAATTGAAATGTTTCAAAAATCTTAGACCTTAATAAAGAAAATAAATTTTTGTATGTCATTGACAATTTGTCCTTTAACAAACAGTATGCTAAAGGAACATAATGTCCATTTTCCAAGCCATGTATAGTAAATAATTGTAGAAAATATTTGGTACTGTATGAAAATGTATCATCCATATACAAAGTTTTTAATTTACACAACAAACGAATATTTGTCTCGCATGAAAATACAATTACATTTAATTCAGGATGATTTAAAAACAAAAAACTTTCATTGCGACAGGTTTTAGGAGAATAATTACTAACCGCGTTATGGACTTCTGATATGCTTCTTGGTAACGGACTGCTAACAGTTTACGACGACAGTTGTAAATGTTCTTTCTTATACTAGCTATGTCAGGAACCGTCAGAAAATTCTCATCACACTCAGCAACAGCAGTTCTTGTAATTTTGGCAGGCTTTTCCGATATGTCCCCTTGGGCTTTTCTTTTACATGCATTGGTTACCATCTTTACTTCAAGCTTTTTTGGATCGGCTTCATGATATTGTACCAAATCACTTCTTGTGATGGTGAGGTCCTCACAGCCTATTGTTAACACTTTTGCGGAACACTTAGTGTTTCTTTGGATGCAGCGCCAAAATATCCCGCGCTTTTTAACACTTTCTGTTTCGAGAACGAATGATGCTCCACCACTAATAAATCTCGACCACGGGAACTTTTTATCAAACTCATTTTTTAAATATCCGTATACGTGCACAATTCAACGTCAAACAAGAAATAAATTACAACTGAAATAATTTAGTCACAAGCCCCCCACTCCCTGCCGTGACAATAAATATTGGGAAAATCCGCTTGTCCTGCTTGGGTGCAAATGTCCATCGCCGCTAATTACCTACCTACCTGCTTTACGCCGCGGTGTCGAAATTTCCTATAATAAAATTTGACCCTTCCATTACCCCAGGTACAAAGACAATTTGGTGTCGAAAGTTCGCCCTCCGATGTTCCGATCGTTAGATCTTCGGGTTGTGCTGCCTGTATATAATTTGATAGTTTCATCTAGTGTTAACCTCTAGTCCCATTCTTTTTGTTGCTGCTTCAAGCTCCTTGAATGATTCGACCACGTCCGCCTTTCTTCTTGCAATAATGTCGATGTCATCGGCTTACGCTAGTAATTGTACGCTGAGATTAATAATAGTTCCTGTGGTTGTTATTCCAGATTCTCTTATCGCTTTCTCTAGTGCAATATTGAATAGAAGGCATGATAGGCTGTCTTCTTGTCTAAGTCCTATCTGAGACTAGAACGTTCTGAAAACTCCGTTCTGTACTCCTTTACACTCGACTCTTGAGAGGGTCGCTTTCACCAATTTTACTAAGATTTTATGGAAGTTACCTGTTCTATTATTTGTCCCTTAGCGTACAAATGCACGTTTGTTGGTATCTTTGAAAATACAAGAATTTTAGTTTTGGAAACAGTTAGATGTAAATCGAACATTTCTGAAATATTGGAGCGTTCAAGTTGTACTTCTTGTCCAGGATTCTTGCTTTACCGGTAGTTTTCTGAGACAAATATGACTAATTTTTTAAAAATTTTATGTTTTAAATGATATTTAAAAGTACATCTCATTAGAAGATTACAAGTTTACACGAAAAAATCTGATCTTGTTTTATTATTTTAGAAAAAAAACAGTATCTCTGAAATATTTAGATTTAACAGATTCTAGAACTTAGTCTTACAATGATGTATCTGGCGCGAAAAATCGCAGATGTAGCAAATTCGTTTCTGAACCCTCTTCAAAACTTAAATGTTTTAATTCTGTTGGGAAACAACCCCTCGATATATCCTGAAATTAATTTTATACGTCGGAATCACTCATTTTGGCCATTTAACTTTTTATTGCTAAATTTGTAGTTGTTTCCGATATATACAAGTGTTATATAATCATCGTTAAGTGTTTTTAATTTTCTGTCTTCGCCTACTATGCTAATAAACAATTTTTGTGTTCTGTTTTTTTGTGGTTAATGCCATAGGTTGACCAATTTGTAGTTTTGAATACGTCTTCTAGGGATAGGTTGAAAAGCTTTGGTGATATTACGTCTCCTTGTCTCACTCCTCTCTTAATAGGGATGGGATTTGTATTTTCGTCTAGTTGTACTATCATAGTTGCATTTTCATATATATTATGTATTAGTTGCCTATATCTCGAATCTATTCTACAATTATTTATTAATAGCTTGTTCTATGGCCCACATCTCGATACTATTAAACGCCTTTTCATAGTCGACGAAGGCAAGAAATACGGGTAGTTGGTATTCATTTGCCTTCTCTATCAATGTTTTCATTGTCAGCAGATGGTCTGATGTAGTATATCCTTTGTGGAAGCCAGCCTGTTCAACCGGTTGGTAATTAGGATATGGATAATAGTTATGTTGCAAATAAAAAAGAGAAATCGAGACAAATGAATGAGGCAGAAATGCTTAATTCAAGATAGAAATAACAAAAAATACTTCAGTTTTGGTACAGATTTTCAATCTAATCAAATATTTATCATCGGAAAGGGATTTATTATTATTATTAATATTACCAACGAATATCAATATACTTTTGCGGGGATTTTTAGTAATTTTCGATACACAATTTTAATCCCAACTAGATATCGTTCATATGTTTTAAAAGTATCAACTACTTGATGAACGTTGGTTCCGCACTGTGCTTTTGTCGATGAGATGACAAATCAAGACTGAAGACTGAATGATGGATGACCATTCAAAAGTTGTGAATTTTGCTAAAGAAAAATATAGTAGCAAAAAAATACTTTGGACTTAGTCCAAAGATTAATGTTTATTATTGATTAGATAAACAGACATATTGCTTCAATTATATAGCATGTACGTACAGAAGAGGAGAAACGATCACATTTTAATTTTTGTTTCCGGATAATTTATAGAACCATTACCTTAATCTAGACCATCAGAACTAGTACTAGTACCGTTAAATTAGCAAAAACAAAATCTTTCTTAGATTTTATTGAGTGTATTTCTAAAATATTATCTCACAAGTACTACAGTTATCCACGCTTAAACCAAATGGTTCTTTCTAGCAGATACCTTTGTACGTAGCCACTTCAAATTATCTTATCTGTACAAAGAAAAAAGCCTTGCTGACAATCCTTATTTTTTTACTTATTCATTTTATTTCAATAATAATTAAGTGTGATGAAAGTTGGTAGGAGTCATAAATATTAAATTTTTGGTGAGTTATCAATAGCATATTATAGGTAATTATTTTCAGTTTTAATCTAGTTTTCAATGAATCTTATTTAGAGCCGAAATAGGACTTAAATATTAGATTAACTTTATTTAAATAGTCGATAACGAAATGAATTTAAGTTCGGTGGTGAATAGATTATTGAATAAATGTCAACGTCATACATTAGTTTTCTGCGTGAATAATACATGATTGGGATATGCTTTAATGGCTGGAAACGTGACTTACTTAAGCACATGTGAGGATATAGCATATACTTATGGTTAATTTTGGTTAAACTCGTATACAAAATTAACATATAGAAAAAATCTAAAATTTCATGGTTTCTGTTGATTAAACATGTATCAAATTAACCGGAACTGAATAATTAATTAACAGATAACAGAGATTAAACAAAAATTAAACTGTCATTCTCTATTATTAACCTTTCTTCTGTCCATTTTATGTGTTTTAAAGTCTTCAGTAATGTTGTCTTGAGATCTTTGTAGGAAAATACTCTTCTATTTGACTCCTTTTATCTTCATTCTTTGGTATATGTTGTCCTTCTTTCGCCCAATGACTATTCCTTTGCTTTTTTTCTAATTATGTCTTCTCTTTGCTGTTGCCATATGTTGACTTCATTTCCTTTTCAAAAAAGAGAAAGGGTAGTTTTGTGCCAACTTTAAGGCCTTAGCAATGTAGCGCATGCTGTGACGATCATCATTAATAACTATTGCCACGTATTTGGACACCTCCAAACGTTTTCAAGTTCTAGGAGAAAACAATGAACAGAAAGTTATAGAACTATTTAGGGAGACAGTAACTGTCTCATATTTCTTTTCATATTTTATATTTTCCTTTATAACTATTGTAAATACTGTTGTTCTTCTAAAATCAGATAAACACTGCTCATATTTGGAACTTAATGGTGAGGCATTTGTACCATCCTACTTGTACATACATAATTGTTAACCCTAGCTACTGTTTTACTGTTTTTTGTGTATTAGTAGGTAGATATTAGTAAAATTATTATTGTTTGCAGGTACGATCGAGTAACGAACAACCTAGGATATCCACACCAAATTCACAAGTAACAAGTTCCAGTCCCGGAGTAGGAGCAGCCCTGGCGGCGTTAGGAAGTCTCGGTGGAATTTTCGGCAATCACTTACAAATGTTAGGAAGCTTACCAGCTTTCCAGAGTCCGCAGAGCCTGCAGCAGCTGCAGCAACTTGCGATGCTGCAGCAGGCTAGCGGCAATCAGATGAATCCGCAGGCTCAGTTTTTATTTCAAAATCAGGTAAGCTTGGAACGTCGATTGTTTTTACCGTTATCTATCATATAATTTTTGTCCTTTTTAGTAAACGTTTAGGTTTTATTCTCGATAAGTTATCAGTGCACAAATCAGCAAATAAATGATACTGAAATATATCAAGGTCTTGCAAACTGCGTATCAATATTATAATTTTCAAAAACAAAATTTGGTTTTAATGTTTAAAATAAGCGGGTTCATGTTAAAATTATTAAAAAAATTTCTAAAATAGTAGAGTCAAGTAAGATTAGCACATCAACAAATCTTTTTAAATTGTTTATTATTATTTTTTACATAAATCAGATTTCTAAAGGACATAAATATGTAACAAAACACGGCAAATTAAATGCAAGAAAAGAAAAAAGGATGGAACAAAGAAGTGAACATATAAAGCTTGAAACAATTTCGTTAGCTTCAGTTTATAGAAGTAACTTGCTTTATTTTTATATGAGAGTTTTGACAAGTTTTGTGTTGGAAAATCTTAAGTGTAGCATATTATTAAACACAGGATGCTGAGAAGATTGGTGCTACCAACTGGAAGACCCAAATCGTTTTACCAACGAATATCATCATCATCAGCCGTTTTGAGTCCACTGATGGACATAGGCCTCCCGTAAATAATTTCAATGCATTCTATCTTGAGCACCCTTGATCCAGTTGTGCTGAATGCGCTTGATGTCATCCGACCACCTTATTGGAGGACGTCCTTGTTGGAGGAGAGATGGTATCTCCTTGCCTACTACTCCTCTCGAAGGGAAATGTATTTGTGTTGCCATAATACATTCTAACTGAAGCTGTTGTGCTATTATATATATTCCGAAGAAGAGTTGTGTACCTATGATCAATACTGCACTATGTAAGAGCTCTTAACATGAACCTATGCTGGACTGAGTCAAACGCTTTCTCAAAGTCTACAGATATTAATATCAATGGCTTGTTGTATTCTGTAACTTTCTCTATCAAGGATTTTATTACTTGTGGGTGGTCATTCGTTCCAAAGCCACTCCTAAATCCGGCTTGCTCTAATGGTTGGTATATACCCAACGAATATAGACGCATATAAAAGCACCTTTTAACGTAATTTTTTGGTATATGCTGGGACGAAAACAATTTACTCTTTACTTCTGTTCTCGTAACACCAGGAAGCGCTCATGTAATCCCCCTTCACCGCCATACCGCATCTCGTCCACAAACTACTACTGCTTCTGAAGTAGAAAGAGTAGGAATCAAGTAGCCTTAAATTTTTGCATTTTATGAAATTAGAGATCAATTCCTGCTCATGCACCAGATTGTATTAAGAAGAATTCTTTATGTGCTATCTGTTAGACGCTTGCAATCGCGTATTATGATATTTTTTAAACAGATCTCAGAACTTACGCCAAAAGAGATTATTTTGCATGTGCTTAAACAGCCTTGGATGATTTTAAACCAACTTCGTAGTGAAGAGAGGCCCAAATACTTTAAAATTTTATATTTTGACTGTTTTAATTGACTAAAAATTACTTTAACTAATTTCAAATCCGGCTGGAAGGACCAATGTACAAATGTTTAAATTAACTATAAGCGTCACATCTGTCAAATTGAATTGAATATGGTGTGTATATGTAAATTATGATAGTACGCTATGCTAGAATAATGAATGCTTTCTTTTCTCTCTCCTCAGAGTGCTGGGGCTGTGCAATCTCATGTTTTGCTTTGTGCACTTAGATGGTGGGTTATATAAAAATACTGAAGTGTTTCTTAAGCGTTGGTTAAATAAATACTGAGTACTGTCATTGTCTCAATGCAGAGCCGAATAGATTTCTTATAAGTATGTTAAGGCGGCGTTTACACGGCATATTAGGTGTGGAGGGATGGAACAAACGTCTGTTAAAATAACAAAATGGAAGTCAGAATAGATGGATAATGTCAATTTCAACGGACAAAGTCAATACCGATTCCAAAAATTTAAATATGAAATTAAAAAATTTGATTGATGTGTCAAATTCTGATTCATACATTTATGATTTTTAAGAACACTGTTCTACGAAATATTTACTAATATACTTAAAAAAAATGTGAAATTAACAAATAACGGATAGTTTTATTATGAAGCTGTACTATGGTACTGAAACATTCTTCTAAAGCTTCTTGTGGCATTTTTATGTTACTGTCTATCTTTAATACGAATCACCTAATATGTATTTAAATTGAAAAAACCGTTTATTTTGACATTTCGATCTCCATTCCGGAAATCGATTTCAAAATACATTTTCTTTGAACTGATATTCTAATTTCTAGTAAAGCTAGTAAATAGCTTATAATACTAACTATAGCTGATATATTTTTTAATTTAAGGGTTTTCTCCAAGGGTTCCCTAGAACAAGTATACCTTCTAGACCCCCACATACAATGCAGGTGTGTTTTATGTAACAAACAAACATTGTGCCGTTTAAGATCAGCATGCTTCTTTCATAAGACACTATAATACATTTTATATACTTTATTTGAATACACTAATACATTTTGTTTGCAATAAGCTATCACAGGGTATTTATACTTGAATATAGAGAATTATATATGGCAATATTTGGAAAAAATGACAGAAAATAACTTAAAACGACCTTAATAGCTTGTAGGTAACAAACGAAAAAAGGAACATCAAAAACAATCTAATCATCTTTAAAAAAACAGCAAACTACCTTCTTCTTCTTCCTCAGCTCTTCCCTTTTCAGAGGTAGCTATTTCTTACTGTTCTTCGCCACTAACTTCAGTCACCTTTTTCTCCCAAGTCCTCCGCCACACAGTTCTTTCATCTTCTCCTTGGTTTTTCTCTACCCCTCTTGCCCTTGTGCCACATTTTCTTTATTTTTACGTCTGATATGACCAAACCATTGCAGTCTTTGTTCTTGATTCTTTTTTGAGACTGTTCTTCACCGCAGTTCTTTCCCTAATCAAGTCGTTCTTGATCCTGTCTCTTCTAGTCTTACACAATATCCCCCGCAACATTTTCATGTCAGCTACTTCCATCTGCTTTTCCTGAATCTTCTTCACATGCCACACTTCACCGCCGTGCACTTACGCAGGCTTTACCAAACTCTTCTATCTTTTATTTCAGTCCTTTCCCGATTTTTCGATCACAGAGTACTCCGCTCATTATATGTGCAATTTTTTGATCTAGTAAGTAAGAGCCAACATATTTAAATTCTTCTACTAGTTTTTCTCCAAGTAACTCGATCTTTCCCATCATTCCTGTTTCGTCGAACCCCATATACTCTGTTTTTTTAATCTACTAACCTTAAGTCATCCCTCTTCAATGCGTTTCTTCAACCCTCCAACATTTCTTTTCTCTCCTCTAGTAACACGATATCACCACCAAAGAGCATTGACCACGGAGCCCCCTCCCTTACCTTCCCTGTCAATACATCAATACCAAGATTAAACAGGTAGGGACTCACTGATTAAGAGCCTCATTAGAGCTCATTAAGAGCCTTAATGCAAACCAACAAGATCTTAAAACATTCTCATTCAATCAATTTATTAGACGTGTTATACCAACAGTATAAACAATTTATTCTCGACATTATTATCTTCTAAAAGTTTTTGTTAAATTCGCTCTAAATAGAATATCATCTATTATATAGGATCAAATATGAGACAAGGCACTGCTGGCAACTACCGTTTAAATTGATGTCACATATCATTATATTTTATCGATGATTTTCTCTATTATTCACATCTTTAATCTTAGTTTCTTCTATATTTAAGTTTTCATACTTTTCCTGTTCTTAAGAGGAATTCCATTTCTACTGTTTAATTAAATTTTCTTGCCAATTTGTCAATATTCTGACTCAGACGTTGTTATGGGCTATGTAATCGACCTACATATTACTAATTATGTTTCTCGTCTAATCTTTGTTGGTCAAAGTGCTGAATTTGGTTTTTAGATTGTCGGTTTGCTTTACGACGTTTTTTTCTATATACAGACTGCCCTTCTTGGGATATAATGCTGTTTAGATATGTATATTCCTTATCTTTGTGCTCTTCTAGTAATTTTCTCATCATGAATCATGATCATCATCATTTGCATCATTACCATCTGGTCTTCTGTGAATAGTAATATGTTTAGATGATCTTAATCCATTTCTATATCCATTTTATTTATAACATTTCCTGCGCCACGTAGTCAAAATTTATCTTAGAGTCAAAGAGAAGTAGCAACCTTGTCTTAATACGTTCTTCAAGGTTCACATTTGCAATGTACTTGTACCTGATTTAACTTATTGTCTACTTTTTGGAGACTGTTTACATGCAGTTACCATACATTTGGTTTAAGTTGCTGTTTTCAGAATTATTGTAAGTATTTGTGTATGGGGTTTATTGTTGTAGGCTTATCCAAGTCAACAAAACATGTGGGTATTTAGTCACTTTTCAATTATTTTCTAATATAGTATTAAAGCAGGATCTTCCAGTTCAGAATCTGCTCCCCTTTCTCAATTTCATCCCGATAGTCGCATATTTTTGGTTCTTACCTTTCCGTATAACTTATCATACTAATTCCTTGGTACTTTGTCAAAGTTTTCTTATAATATTTAAAAAATAATTTAAACATTGACTTAATGAGTGTACCTGGACATAGTTTAAGAGGTTCAATAGAAATATTTGATGTACTAACTGTCTTTTCATGTTTTTTGTACGTTTTAAGACTTTTTCATCATATGTGGTAATGTTTTCTACTGTTGTATTCCCTGTTGTAAACCGTTGTTTCCCATATAAAAGCTCTTATGTATTTACCGTCAATAAATCTTTCTAATGCGTTTTTCAATCGTGGAGCTTTTTTTAATTAAATACGTACATTCCTGAATGTGTCTTTTCTTAAATTCTTAGTAACTTTAAGACCTCTAATACATTGGATTTTCTTTAATGCTTTACTGTGCTTTCCCCTACTATTGAGTGAACAAATGCATATTAATTCAGTCCCAAAACCTTGTCTAATATTTTTGTCTAATTACTATTTTCATACGGTTTTCAGTGTATTGGTATAAAATGTAACTGCAATTATTCAGTATTACTTCCAGTTGTCAAAATCATAAACTAATGTTCAAAATTCTAAAATATAATATAAGGCTTATTGCAAATAAACAGACCACAAAACACACAAATTTATATAAAAATATTAATGTTATGTTACAAGCATGTGACAAAATCTACAAACATACAACTCAGTCCATTTTGTGCACCATTTATATGTGTATTTACACTCTTGTTCGGTCTTTTGTAAACACAAAATTTTTTGCAGGTACAACAAATAGCACAAGCTGCCCAGCAACTACAACAACTGCAGAAAGTACAGCAAAACACAAATCAACACAACACCAGCATTCCCCCAAACACGACGTTACCTCATCAAACGCAGACCACTCCCCCAAACAACAACCACAATATACCTGCCAGCATGCTCACCCCAAGCACGCCGAGTTCTGGCGGACTCACGCCGCAACATCTTAAAACGCCCTCAAGGATACTGGAACCGTCTCCAGAAGAAACCACAGATTTGGAAGAACTTGAACAGTTTGCGAAGACGTTTAAACAGAGAAGGATAAAACTAGGTAAGGAAGAAATGTATTATGTACATCGTTTACATCAAAAATTGTATTAATGCCGATTAAATAACTGTTTAAAGTAACTGAAATATTTTGTGCAATAAGTAGTACAATAAAAGTTATCTGTAAAGATATCTATCTATTAACATCGAGTTTTGAAAATAGTCTCCCCTTCGCTCCTCTATTTTCTCTATCTCGATCCATGCACAAAAATGTATTTGTTTGGTTTTGTTCTTTGTTCAACAGTTTTGTCTTTTTATTATTGTATTCTTCATAGCTAATTATAAAACGAAGCCTATGATATTTTCACTCATCTTTCTACATTTATTTGGACAGTTTAGTTGTCTTTATTTAATTTTATTATATGTGTATCATATACCAATTCTTTTTAACTTTTAACTTTGATTTGTCATCACTTTTGTTTTCTCGTAATTCATATTTAATGCAACTTCTCCAACTTCTTGGTATAGTTGTCATGTGCTAAAAGGACTTTGCCCGTTAACCCTTTACAGCATGAATTTTTGTTTTTTTTTTGTCAAAAATAAACTCCCATATAAGAATTTTAATTCTATTTTCATGTAAAAATATTGAAAAAATCTAGCTACGAGGAAAACTTTATTGACAAAAAATTTTTTAGTGCTGCCAAATATGGAACATCATGCAACAATATAATATTAATGTCAAACTAGTTTGAAGCTACAGTATACACTATGCAGTAGGAAACTGCAAATAACAGTTTCTTTCGTTATTAAGACACAACGGTATTGTGCATTTTGTGCACATTATATATGTTTTCCCTGTCTTCTTCTTCTTCTTAGCCTTCTGTCGTCCATGTTTAGACATAGGCCTCTCTAACTCCTTCCATCGGTCTCTATCCTGAGCAACATATTTCCAATTTGTTCCGGCTATTCTTCTAATGTCATCAACCCATCTCATCTGTGGTCTTCCTCTTGGTCGTTTACTTTCGTAAGGTCTTCAATGTTGTATTGTAGTATTCCAACGTTGGTCTAGCAGTGTGGCCCGCGAAGCTTCATTTAAGTTTTGCAATTTTTATTGTTATGTCCTCGACTTTTGTTTTGGATCTTACCCAGTCGTTCCTCTTTTTATCTGACAGTCGTGTACCTAACATTGCTTTTTCCATTGCTCTTTCTGTTGTGGCTAGTTTATTCATGTTTGCCTTGGTTAGGGTCCAGGTTTGACATCCATATGTCATGATAGGAAGGATGCATTGGTTGAACACTTTGCTCCTCAAGTATTGGGGTATTTTGCGGTTCTTAAGTATCCTACTAAGTTTTCCAAATCCTGCCCATGCTAGTCTTGCTCTTCTAGTAATTTTCGCACTTTGGTTCTCTTTGTCAAGTCTCAAGATTTGGCCTAGGTAGATATATTCCTGGATTTGTTCTATCTCACTGCCGTTTATAGTTATATGTCTGGGGTCTTCTGTGTTTGTCATTTTCCCTGTACAGCCTGAAAATTTGCATCTTGACCTAGTGCTCTCGTCCTAATAGGGAAACTAATCAAACACATATTTACGGATGTTTTCTTCGGGTATTTCTTAAGTGAAAAAGTCCTTTTTTCGTTTATACTCGTACATCTCTTGAAGACTACTACTTGACGGTCTTGCTGCTCTGTTCTGTTATTTTCTCGCTTTGCTTGGAGCATCGGCTATTGCCAGTTTGGTACCCAAAAGAGTAAAACTTCTTCGCTATTCAGGCTAATAACCAACAGTTCACTACAGCAGTTTCTTTACCATATGACATCTGCCGCGCTTCTTCATTTCTTTCTCAACTGGCATCACAACCCAGGAACACGATTTAGTCCCACTATTCCCAAAGATAAATGCCCTATTTGGTCAAATATATCATAAGAGGTATGCTGGTAAACCAATTGTCAAAAACAACTTGTAATGTTGATATTTTGGTATCGCATCTGCTAATTTGACAATCTCGTTGCTGCTTATACTAAGATTTGGTGCTTCTGGAGGTACAATATTACTTTGGGAAACCAGCAAATAAATCAAACTCATAGCTGAATTCCTAAATATCACTTAGCATAAAGTTTTTGAAGCCCCACTTATGTGGTTGTTTTTGGAATATACTGTGTTAGCTTCCCTCGCGCTTTTGTTGGTATAATCTGTTCATCTACAACTAGCAATTCTTCTTTCGGAACTATCAGTAGCCGTTCATTGATTTGGCACAGAAAAGGTCTGATTTTGAATAATCTGTCATGTCCAGGCTGGTCATTTTCAATCATTGTCATTGAAATTCAAGAACCGTTTTATTTCTTTGAGTCTGTTACAGCTCATCACATCGCTAAGTGCTCGATGACCAATATTGGCATTCCAATACTGTGTTGTTGATGGAATTTGAGTTATCGACATGTAAACAGTAATTCCTATAAATTGTTTCTTTCGTATTTTTTTATATTAGCTGGTTTATCTGAAAGTATCTGGAGTATAAATTTCATTGTTTTGTGATATTCTGTATAAGACTAGGAGGAAAGAGAAACTTTAAAACAGACCGGAGTTCTAATTGTAAAATCAAGGAAGGTTAATTGTCAGGACCAGTAAATGTTGTATCATGTTTTGATCTTCTCGGATTACATTTCACCCAATAATGAGATATCTTCCCTTTATATCGTAGCCTTTCAGACAAAGTGGTATCATTATCTGAGGAATCTGAAGATGTGGCAGGAATGACGGTTTCCTTACCATTGCTTGGTAAATCTTTATGCTCCTCTTTGTCACTATCTTCAATCAATGAGTCCATAACTTCATAGCGTACCATATGTAGTACAAACCCTTTTTGGGGTTTTCGAGAGACTTTCAACATTCATCATTTTTAGTACTCAGCTACCTTTTTAGTACTCACTTAGAGAAGATATCTAATATCACAATATAATGAATTTCAATTTTTTCTCGCCGTAAAAAACGTTTTTACCATGAAAACTACCCTCAAACTTCGAACACTATTTCACGCGGTTTAAAATTTCAACAAGAATGAACTTGAAACTGCGAACGACTGTCTATTAGCAGTTAGAGTTAAGACATTTGTTTTAATTTATATCGATCATTTTTTCTTACTTAATTTTTTGTTTTAGGTTTTACTCAAGGAGATGTAGGTTTAGCAATGGGAAAACTATATGGAAACGATTTTTCTCAAACCACAATTTCTCGATTTGAAGCTTTAAACCTTAGTTTTAAAAACATGTGCAAGCTAAAGCCCCTTTTGCAAAAATGGTTAGAAGACGCCGATAGCACATTGACAAACCCTGGATCACTCAGCAATCCTCTAACCACTCCCGAAACGATAGGAAGGAGGCGAAAGAAAAGGACTTCGATAGAAACAAGTGTGCGAGTAGCGCTGGAGAAGGCTTTTGTCCAAAATCCAAAACCTACTTCCGAAGAAATAACAATGTTAGCCGATGGACTCTGTATGGAGAAAGAAGTGGTGCGAGTTTGGTTCTGTAATAGAAGGCAGAAAGAAAAACGAATTAATCCACCTACATCGGTGATGGGTTCACCTTGTTCAGTGGGTAACACGAACGGAAATATGTTTCATATCGCTAATAGTTTAGCAACTAGTCCTCTATCACTCGTTACGTCAAGTGGCCATAACTACAATCCGAACGTAATGGTCAAGCAAGAATGACCCTCACTGAACTTTTTTGCTGACCATTTTTTAGAATAGCGTGGTCTTTTGTTGTGCAATGAATTTATATATCAATGATCCCGGTTTTTGTGTACTATTTAGGAAGGATAGCTTTGAATCAGGTACTTTAAATCACTTTCTCAATTAAGTGATATGCCTGAACGTACTAAACTGATTAAACCTACTAATAGTGTAACTAATTTTTTCAATGAAAGAATCACTTTTATTGAGGAATTTTTGTAAAATCTTTTGTAATTATTAATATTTATATATTCATTATTATTTGGTTTTTGCCAGTTTTGTAAGAACTTGTATAGAGATTCTTTGACTTTTAACGAAAATGTAAAATACACCCTGAAGTTATATTTAAGGTTGACATCTTTATGCAGTATTTGAAAACTTTTGTTTTTAGATCTCAGTGCATTTATTTATATCAACTAGAAGGGTTACTGCGACGAACTTTTAATAAACAATAAAATTAATTTATGATTTTGCAGAGTTTGTTATTTCTTTTCTTATTCGTCTTTCAAGTATCCCTAAACATTTCATCTTAGTTTCTCTAGGTAAGACAATTAGGACTGTATTATTTTATGTAGATTGTAATTTCAAATAAGTTTCGTTTATTTATAAAGAACTTTTTTCATACGCAGTAGATCTCTCGATTCTATATTCCAACTTATCAGAGAAATCAGTTGGCCGATGGATGAGTAGTATGATGAGAGATAAGATGAGAAATTATATAAATAAAAAAACGTTATTTTCCTTTTTTTTTAACAATTCTATAGGTATTGTAAGTAGTACCCAGTGTAACATGTTTTGTAATTTGTAATAAAGCCAATATTTTTGTTATTATATCGTAGTTATCTCTTTTGTCCCAGTGGATCATTAGTAATTATTCAAGTTGGATATTTCGAGAGATGTACATTTGTACATAGATAAATATTTAAAGTAACAATACTCAACATTTGCGAATATACGAAGCATACACAGACCAGGCAATGCCAAAGTTTTGGAAAGGAAGACCTCGATTATAGGTGAGACAATCATCAGATATGAGCAATAGATAATTTTAGGTTTCAGGCCCAATTTTTGCCAAAATCTACAGCACGTACAGAAAGTCCTTGTTGTTGTGAGTGATATTAGCGAGGTGTACATTCCAAATAAGTTCTTATCAATGATACCTCTGATGAGATACTTAACCAGTCTGATAATGTTATTCCATTCATGATTAGGGGTTCAATAGGGACGTTGACTATTTTTGGAAAGTCTTTAAAATCATACATAAGTAAGTAATATAGCAGAAACTATTTATAATTTGTAACGAGTTCATTACAGCTGTTACCCTTTCTCGCATCCTAGCTTCCAACTCTTAAAATCGTTCCAGTCATCTCCTTGTAAACTCCTATCTTCCATTGCACCATTTACTTCTGACTTCACGATCTTCTTGGTTTTCCCTATTTCCTGTGGTTGGTGGAGAACCACTTTAACATTATCCTTGACCATCTTTTAACTTTTTATTCTTATGAAATGGCCATACCATTTCAACCTTTTGCTTCCTATAGTTTCCAGGATGTCAAGGTCTATACCCATACGCTCTTTAATTTCAGTATTCCTTACTGTATCTCTTCTAGTGATTTTGCAATATCTACGCCAATAATTCATTTCCATCGCTTTTATTTGGGATGCGTCTTTTTAATTTATTACCCAGAGCTCTGAACCATATGTATCAATACATTTTATGATACTTTTATCTATCCTAATTTTTATGTTTTAAGTGATGTGGTTATTCCGGAGTAAACTAGACGCAATGCTGAATAACCTTAACCAATTCTAGTAGCTATTTCTTTTGTATTCCGACCATCGTTTGTAATGCTTACACCGTGATATTATAGAGATCATTATTTTCGATTTGTATGCCTCTTGGCTCTAAGTATCTTGTATTAGATATCATCTTGATCTTCTGCCAATACCTATTTCTTGGCCATTCGCAAAGTAAGTTCAAGCTGTACAGTTAATGATCTTCAATTTGAATACTTGTGACAACTCACACTGTTTTTTCCAAATATCTAAAACCACCTCCAAATAAATCTTAAATAATGTAGGTGCAATGCAGCAGCTTTGTTAATGTAAATTGGTGGAATTTTCTTGTCTTCTAGCACCTCTCACTGCTTGGCTAATGGGACACTATCATACGCCTTTTAAAGGTCAATAAATACCATGTGTTTCTCCATATTGTATTCCAAGCGCTTTTCTATTGTTTGTTTTAGACAGAACACATTGTCTATAGAATAACGACCAGTAAGAAAGCCACTCTGATCTTCAGCGTCTTACCAATAATCTTTAATGCGGTTTTTAACTATATTCCGTAGGAATATATCACGAAATTCTTCCCCTTCGAGTTTTGTTGAGTGATCTTCGCCATCACAGTAAATGTGATAAGATAAGACAACTGTCTACGATTTAGTTTTTATCAGTGGTTGACTGATCTGCAAGGTATGAATTAATCGTTATAGCAATACCAGAGTGGCAGAGATATTTAGTGTCTTGCCTAAGTAATAAGAAGAAGATAAGAATTTCCAGCAGTTTTATATAGTTTTAGTGGGATTTCTCGCATTGTTTTTCTGATTGCTTATAGTTAGCCGGTGTGTTTTTTCCAAGTAATTGTCTCGCTTTCTTCTCTTTGTGGTATAATTTCTATAAACATAATAGTCAACGAATTTTATAGATCGTATTTTCAGAGTATCAGTGGTATTTCTTGTATTCTTCTTCATTTCTTTTATTGTTTTAAGAATTTTCTTCATTTCATCTTTTTCAATTTGTTGTAAGCAATTTATTACAGTTCTCAGTTTTTAACTGGATTATATAACAAATTTGAACAAAAAATGTACCCGAAACATGAAAAATACTTACATGAAAATCTTTGATCAAACCATTTTTATTCGGTATTTGATCTTCAAGAATGAGAAAAATAAATGCGTAAACTCATCAGTTTTCAAACCGTTCCCAACTGCCACAAAAACGAATACAATATTTTGAACAAAATACATCTGCATAATATAATATTGTCCTAATGTATGTTATTTAATATTATATCGACTGTCTGTTATTATTTATGCCAAATATACTTATGTAGGTTAGGATACTTAAAGTATTACATTTTGACAAGTATTTAATTTTTATTGTATAATATGTACCTACTGTTTAACTGTATTATTGTATATTTGTGGTAAAATTTCGCGAATAATTTTGGCGACAATGGCTCACATATGGCTGGATGCAGGCAGCTGTTGAAATATTTATTTAATTCAAAAAAGGCGACAGTCAATATAGCTTCCTTTTTGGTTAAAACAATCTTAACTTATTATTTGCAACGACTTTTAGCTCCCATAAGCTCCTAAAAATATGACGTCACAGGAAAATGTGAAGTTTATAACTGTTTCTAAACAAAACTATAGTAACGTCATTGTTATGTTTGTTATGAAAGGGAATATAAGATGGATTCAATATTCGTATAGTGTATTTATACAGAAAAAATCCTAAGAACTTGTAAAAAAAAGTCTCGCAGATTGTATATTTCAAAGGAATTATTTATGGAAGATCTTTTATATCCTATATATCAATCATTTGAGGCTGTTCTAACAGTTTTGTTTTCCCAGATGAGGTCGTAGGCTCACTCGCAACTCTCCAACCAGGGGTTTTTCTGTTGGGGTCTTTTTCCTCAAAGTGGTCAGCTAAGACTAAAGGGACCACTTCCCCTTTTTGCGTAATTCTGCACAATGGGTCTTTACAGTGTACTATGTCTGGGCCAGACGAACCCTGGTTTTAGCGGCTAACGGAGGTTATCTCAGTTTATTGCAGTTCTTTAAGTCAGAGTTGTCAGTAGGAACCAAACGAAATATTTTACCTAAACGTGATCTGTCCAGTAGTAATGTAAGGAAGCAAGACATGAACTTTGACTAGCAAAAATAAAGAAGCGGTTAGAAACTGTGAGAAAAAATCATCAGAAAAGTGTATATCCCAGTTAAAGATGGTAAAGTATGGAGGTTGAAAAGAAACCGGGTATTGAAGTAAAGAAAGAGCGAATAAGGTGGGATGCTCACGTACAGAAAGGAAGGAGGAACCATGAAGAAATTATTTCTGGTAGACCTAGAAGAAAGAAGGAGTTTTTATCTGTTTAAGTTTATCTGCAGCTCAGATAAATAGACGGCGTGCATGATGACCTAGATTGGGAATCTGACGGTGGCGGCAGCGAGCGTCAACAACAGGGAACAATTACAAGATATCGTGAAGCAGTCCAAGGCCCTCCAAGGGCTGTACTTTAAAATATCTGGAGTTCTAAGAAAGGCTGTCGCTGCCTTCCGGCTTTCAGCCAACGTCTTCAGGCGTTTCTATCATACCATTCTTCATCTCTAAGATCTTGTCTTTCCACGGCCTCATCCACTTCATCCATCCATGATATTGAGGGTCTGCATCTTGTTTTCTTTCTCATTGGGCTGCAATACGAAATCTTTGATATCCATCTTGTACGATCTGCTCTATTCATGTGTCCATACCAAATTAAATGTTTTTCTTTTAACTTAGTATGTCGTATGTCTAATACGATCCAGTCTTGTTACTCTACAGCTTCTTCTCATGAACAACAACCTTGTTGGTTGCTATACGAAATAGCTGTGTTGAGGTCTTCCTATACCATACTCTCAGGTTAGCAAGCCAGGATCTTCTTCTTCGTCCTGAGGCCCTTTTTCCTTCAATTTGATGATTTCCTTCAGTATGATTACTCCCCTTTACAACAAAATATGTAAGCTGATTTGAAATACGCGTTGTTGTTTTTACGTACGGTATAAGTTTGTTTGGAAAGGTATATAAGCTTGACTTGCCGATGTGACGTCAGATTTGAGTAGTTGATCACCATTATATTCGATTGGTTTGAAAAAAGTTGAAGTGGACTGTTGTCTACTTTCAAATTCGTCTAAAACTTAGCAGATGGCATTCAGTCGTTAAGCAGGGTCTCATATTATTATCAATTTGATTGACTGTCATTTGCTGATTGTGTAAAAACTACTGTAGATAGAAATCTATGTTATGGACATAAATAAGCATACCTAGGTTTTAGATGATCGTTTTAGTATCTAGTGTATATGAATTTTATTATTAACTTTATCTATATATGTCAGTGTATATATCGAATTAGTGGTTCTTTTTAATGAGGACCAATTTAGAGATGTTTAAAGTTCCTATGATGAAACATAATTGTTGACATTATTATTGAAAGTATTTGGAATCACCTGAGATTGCAGGCAATGATACTTTTTCCTTGTATCCAAAGAATAAAGAAGGTACCTAAGTATGTGTGAGTGATAAACAATTTTGAATTTTGCCAAGGAAATCGTTTCATTACCTGTATTAGGGTAATTTTAAATTTTTTGCAATTCGTTATTATTTAACAAATGTTAGACTGACAGTAATACTTTTATTTATTTAAAGACCTAAATA